AAGGTGCTGGCGAGGCTCAGTCCATGCCACCACTGCTGGGAGCATTAAGGCTTTACCGTGTAGTTCCAGAACATGGGCCCCAGGGTTCCTGTGAGGAGCTGCATGACTATTGTACAGAGCACCGACTCTGTAACATCAAATCTATGTGCGAGGGAAAGAAACATTTCAAAACATTTTTTTTTTAAGCACTTGGGTTTTGGTGAACCCATCAGAACAGATTTGTGTTGGAGGTGTAAATAAAACTGCTATGCCACGTTACAAGAATGGCCACTGAGAACACAAAGGGTGAGAGGGAGGGCTTTAGCAACCACAAAAAGTGACAGTATTAATGAATTTAAAGTGTCACCACCCATTTGGATTTGCACACAGACATGACACAATTCAATGTTCTACTCAACACGTTAGGAAGTCTCATTATTAATTCTGTTTCCTTATCCAATAAACTCCTTGCTCCAGGTCACAAGAATTAAGAACAGCCCAAGACCTCCCATCTCCCCATCCCATCCTCAAGCCCATATAGAATGAAATACTTCAATGTTAACAGGTCCTCCTCAGGGCAGTGCTTCACAAAGTCCATTTAGAACAGCAACGACTGCCATGGCCCGTGGTCAGGCAGGGAGCAGAGCAGCACAGCTCACTGACTGAACACAACGTGCTTTGCAGTCCCATGCCCCAGTTTCCATCTGATCCCCATTTTCTGTTCACTATCACAGTAAGTGACTAAGGAGACCTAAAATTCTTGTGTGCAACTTTCTCTTCCTATGGTTGCTAAAACACCACATGACTTTGGTATTTCTGAACAGCTACACTTTCCTTTTCTTCTTATGTTACTCAGTATTTGTAATTTATACATGGCTTTTTTCTAAACATTACCCAAGAAAACTCAACGAAGAGGCCATTGACCTTGGCATGTGCTCAACTCTGCTCAGATGTTGGCAGCAAGAAAGCTTTTATGTGCTGGCCATTCTGCTAGGTTCCCTCATCAAACTGGTAAGAGCCCTGAGCCAATTAATGTACAACTGATTAGTCATACATCAAGAATACACACTTGTCAGTGCTCATTTACTGAGCACATTGAACATGCAGTTTTTGGAAGGCTCTGTTTGATGAAACAGCTCAGGTTTTACAAGTGTCACCCTGAATCAAGTTTTGGTTTAGAAACAGCTGCAGTCAATTCTTGTCCAGAATGGTGAACTAAAAGGACTTCAACGTTAAGAGACTTCTTGAGAAGTGAACCAACCAAGAACAGGAAACAGACACTTACACTGCACACTGCCCTGAAATCATGTCAGTCAGCACTGACACAGCCCTTCTGCTGCGCACAGCTATGGGGGAAGATTTGTACCCTCCTCCTCTACATCCAGAATTCCCTATGACAGCCCCAGGCAGCACAAGGCAGACAAGAGCAGCACTCCTGTCCCATCAGAAAATGGAACTGATGAGGCTGGGAAACTCACGGGGCTGTGTTTATTACTTAAAATTCTGCAGAGCAGCACTCTGCTCTGAGAAATGATTCTTCCATCTGTCGTATCAAGTGTGCAGTGGGATTACTCAGGCTGAGCAACAACCTACAAATCTGATCATGAGACAAAAGTGTGTTTTCTTAAGGGAAGCATTGCAGCAAGAAAAGAATGTTCATCATCACAACACAGTAGAAAAAGGCTGTGAGACACACACTGGAATTCAAATGCTTTGTTTTAAGGGATATTACAGAGTTCAGTCTCAGCCAATTCCAATCTACCATTTTCATTTGAGTGTAACAAAATATAAAGCACTTACCAGAGAGGGAGGCTTCATTCTGGCTGGTTTCTGAAATACAGCCCCAGTTATTGCTCTCTCCTTTCTACCTCAGCAGTCGTGCAGCAGCAGGGCTCTGAAGGAACCAACTGGAACTTCTGGAACTGTTCCTTCCTCTCAGCATTTACTGATATGCCACCATAAAACATCCTTAGAAACTAATTTCCATTGTTTGTATACACACAACTAATTTCTACCAGTGCCAACTTTCCATATTTCAGTTCAGCAGGGTTAGGGTAAGCCCAGTGAATAACTCACAGGGGAAGTGATGGAAATCATGATGCAGCAACATCCTCATGTCTCTGGGTGGACTCCAGTGACCTCAGCACCACCCATCAAGCTCAGCATTGCTGAGTGTGAAGGATTCCCTTCTGTTCTGTGCCACTGTCTGTGCTGCACCAGCATCTCTGCTGTGGTTCATGTCCCTTAGAACAGCACCTGAGTTCCAATGCAGAATCCAACACTGCTCCAGCAGTGACTAAGAGCTCCAGCTTCACCTCTAACCACCCTGGATTTGAGACAGCTCCTGCAGAGTCAGGCTGCCTGCACACTGACCTTGCAAGGTTAAATGCAGTACTGAGTCTGCAGAAACAGCCTCTCCTAACATTTCCTAAAACCAGAGTAATGAGCAGCTGCAGTACAGAATCCAAGCAGAATGAGTCTGGGTCTAGAACCAGAGCTGGTAACCACAACAGCACAGCTAACAGCAGGCAAATTCCACTCAGGTTTTGTGGCCCATACCACTGAATGCCCTCAATTTCTGCAGGATGTTCCCAGGACACCAGGCTTGCTTCCACACAGACATGTGGAAGTCCAGGTGGATGTAACAGCTTGATTTCTGTGACACAAGAGATGCAGCTTCCCAAACCAGAGATGCCCCAGTTATGGCACAGCTGCACTCACCCAGCACTGAGCCTGAAACAGAGCACATTCTGCATTGTGGCACAGCTATTCCACAGCCCAGAGAAACCAGGACAGGAGAACAAAGAAACTATTTGCACTGCTGGAATATCATGTTATCCTGCAATTCCAAACCACCTTTCTGCTCCTTCAGAAGCGCAGCACATCCCTGCTGTCCCATGAGCCCATTCCCAGGGGAGCTTGCTTCTGAACAAAGCCTCCACACAACACACCAGCCGTGCTGCTCTCTGCTGCCCCTGCACTGTTGCTACAATGACTTGTACTGTAACAAACCCAACTTGGAGAGGGATCCAGCTTCCTCACGGTGGATGCTTACACAATACTGACCTCTAGCGACTCTGAGTCACTGCACCAAACTGCTCTGAGAAGAGCATCAGCTGCCAAGTTCTAATGAAAATGTTAGTATTAAATATAAAGATGGAGACAGATCACCAGAAGCACACTGCCTCAACAAGCCTAGGTTGTCCAGGCTGGCTCTGATGTTGACAAGGAGAGAAAGAACCAAAGCAGCTGGTGTGTTCAGTAATTCAGTTTTTGGTCTTTACCTGCAATAAATACTCCATAGCAGTTTAACAGAAGCAATCTAATTTTCTCCTCCTCCAGGGCAAACACGGCTTGCTGATAAAGTCCATCTGCAGAGCAGCAAAGTTGATTATGGGCTTAACTGTTCAAACTTGAACTGTGTTTAAGGAGAAAAGCATTAATCTGTCTTTAGCAGCCTGTTGCTGCTTTGAGCCACTCACAGCTTGCCTACTCAACTGATCTCTGTAATTAAACACAGTTTCTAAGTTGCACCTGAGGATACACGGACAGGAATGAAACACTGCACACTAAAACCTCTTCTGCCCATTTCAACAGCTGTCTGATTCCACTACTTAGGAGCAAGAATAACGGAGCCCACGTGTGCCTGCAGATCTGAAGAGGCAGATGCAATATTGACACGCATTCAGCCTTACATTTAGAGAGACAGAAGATTCAAAAAAATAGTAATTTCTAACAGTGAGAATCAGTTCACAGAATAAATAGGCTGCCACAAGCTGACGTTTGTTTCTATGGCAAAAAAGCTGAGCCTATTAACCTTATGACACCAGGCAAACGAAGAAACAGATGTGTTTACAACACAACGTAGGCTGGTATCTGAATTGCTTTCTCTAGATTAGCTACATACTGATGGATCAAGTTTTCATAACGTCAGGCCATGGAGAACAACAGCATCTGCTGCAGCATGAAAATCCTCAAAGCTAAAACCAAAGTTGCAGTGAACACCAGGAGTAACTCACATCTGCTCAGAGCACAGAGACATGCCAGGTAGCTTTGACACCTACATCTGCAAAGTCAAGCACATGCCAAGGTTTTTTGCTCTCTGACTGATAAGAGGAAATCTGCTGTTATCAGCATCCCACAATGCTCACAGGGAGCTACAAACACCCAGTACTGAGAGCTTCAGTACAACATGGCAGAAAAAAGCCTAAAAACCAGCCCAGGTTATGAGCCAGGTGTCTTATTAGTACTCTGCCCATAAGAACTGGGACAGAGCAGAGGTCCATAGCCACTGCTTTAGCACTGAGTACCTACAGGTGAGTAACAACTGATCATAAACAAACAGCACACATTGTAGCATTGCTTCAAAATCCCATACAAACTATGGGTGAATTCCAGGGGTTTCCAGATGCAAATTCATTCTGCAGTTATTTGAAATATATTTTAGATTGCAACATCACACATCCCATATGAAGGCTAACAAATCCCATCACTCAAACAAGTCCTGGGGACCTTCACACAAGTAAATGCAGCTTCAGCTGCTGCCTTTCAAAGCATCACTTTTTTGTATCATTACCGACAGAACAATAATCTGCAGTCAAATAGATTCAGAAATTCAAAATGCAGTCACAACATCAATTAATACACTGCCTTTAAGAGTTATGCTGCACAGTAAAGTACATCACCAGAAGTCAAGTAACACAGGAGAGAGGTGGTTAAGGCAGATTACCACCACCTGACAAAGCTTTAACATCTCAGAGGTGAAGCCCCGTGTTCTCCCCCTTATTTATTTATATTTAAATCAAATCACAAGCTCCTAGTGTGACAAGGGATATTTTACCACTCCTAGGACAAGCTAGACAACATTCAGTACTAACTACGGATCCAACAGCTACCACAAGCTCTTAAGCACATAGATACAAATCTAAGCAATTTACTACTACTCCAATGACAAGAGCTGCAATCACAAGGAGGGATGAGACAGGAAAGCCATCAAACTTTATTTCCAGCCCAGTACTTACATGCCAAAGCGCAGCGTCCCAGAGACGTACGTCTGCCAGTGCGCGCAGTAAAACATGAATGTTCCAGCAAAACAACAAAAGAACATCCAGTCAGGGTTCGTCCCCAGCTGCACAGCAATACAAGTTCCCAAAACCACAAAGACTGCAGAAGAAAATCAGTCACAGAGTAAAAATATAAAGCGTGTGTAAAGATCCTTACCAGCAGCAAATCTAACAAAGGACCCAGACTGGAGGACATAAAGGTACCCTCATGGGTTTTGTTTTATAGGCATTTATAAGAGAGAAACACTTCCATTAAAAAAAAAATAAGGGTATTACAATTCCTATCAGTTAACAGAAGTTCTCAGTGTTATGGTTTTGTCTCCTCCATTTTTACTGAACCTAGCAGGATTAGAGACCAGCAGATCTGAGCAATTTAAGCCTGAGAACAGAATTTCAAGCTTTCCTCACATAACCAAGGTTTGCTGAACATCCTTCCCCATTTTCTTAAGCTTCTTATAGTACCAAGAAAACCCAAGCTATGACATTCAAGACGCATAAGGCATCTATGCATTATTTTACTATTATTTTAATGCAAGACTTTGATAGAAGCATTCATACAAATAAAAAGCATAAGAGCTTCCGAATTTAAATCACTAAGGGCAATTAGTCATCTCTTTTAGTGAGGGTGAACTTCAGGCTGGCTCAGGGAACTCCACCTACTTGGCAGGGACACGACCTGACCAACACCACCCAAACTCAGCCTTCCACTGCCCCAGCTCCAAACATGCCCTGTAATTGGTCTGTACAGATTAGAGCTAAGTTAATATAGGAGAGCACTTCCACTGTCTGTTACAGTCAATTTTCAGAACTAACACTGAGAAAGCATACACAGAAGTGCTGGACTTAGTGACGTGCTTGAGAAGACATTCAGCTGATCAACACTACTGTCTGTGGAAAGAAAACTAAACAATCCACAAATCAGTAAAGGAATTTCTCCTATATTCCAGATTTCATCCTTGAAATACTAACTTAATCCTCATACTTCAGTTTAAAAAATGACAATACCTGTGGAAAGTGAATCACAGCCATGATCAAAAAGTTCTCCCAGAGGAGTGCTGCTGTTTGTCCTCCTTGCTTGCTTCCCATCTATAGCATCCAGAGACTGGTAGATGAAAAGGCCACAAGCACAAGCAATGTATGCCCAGGGAGGTGCCTATGGAAGAAATTGTCAGTGAGGGTAAAAGGTGTTTCAAACTGTAAGGATGTAGTTTAACTTTAAACCATCTGAAACTCACTTTATAGCTTTGCATTTTCACACACTTCCTTACCTATAAAGGCACATGCATGAATCTTTCAGTAGCTTGGAGGGCCAGACAGAGGGAGTTAGGGAATGTGAAACAGCACGTAATTGTTTGCTTTGTTACTAAGCTTAATTGGTGCAATGCACTTTCTAAGCAGGAAGCTGTATCTGAAAAAAAGACACCGCACAGCACATGCAAAGCAGGACAGTTACACCCTTTCTGGCTTCTATTTCCTGTAGGGGAATTTGTAAGCTGGCTGAGCAATGTTGGAACTTGAACACCTTCCTAGCCCCCAACATGTGGAACTGCCTCCCAAACACTGAGCTCACCTTCACCTTGCTCCTGTGTTCAGACCTTTGGTTGAACTACACTTCCTGAGATCTGCAAAGCTTCAGGGCTCCGCAGCACAGCACCTCCACCATACTTTTATTATTTTTATGCTGTATAACAGTAAATCTATGCTAATAACCCTTAGCGTTCATATTCTGTATAGCAATTTGTATGCCTATAGAAATACAGAAGGTATCAAACTGCCTGGCTTCCTCTGGCCAACAGAGTCTTGACTCATTTGTAGCACATCCAGCTTTCTCTCCTCCTCTTGCATTGTTCTAAAGCTGCTTCTAAAGCTGCCACCTGCTCTGCTTTTAGCCATGTCTCTATTCAACTACTTGCATTTTCTCTTAGCTACCAGCATATCTGTAAGGGCAAGCTACATTCCTATGACTCCTCCTGTTGACAAAAGGTGTAGCCAACTTGCTTTCAAAAAGAGCAGAACTAAGACAGAGCTGCAAGGAAGAGCCAATTTACACCTCAAAGCAATACTGCTTTCAGAAGAAAACTGTGTTTCTAGAATCCTAAAGTCCCATATTCACCCCAGACAGCTGCCTGACACTTCAAAGCAGAATCCTGCAGCTCCACCACAGAGCTGGCATCCCATTGCAGGGCTGCAGTGCCAGATGGCAATGAGATCAGGCTGAGCACCACCTCAGCAGAAAGCCCCTTTTCAGCTGAAGTGAGAAGACAAACGCACTAAGCACAAAGTAACTCCCAAACTGTTACATGTGTAACAACCATAATGCAGCCAGCCACAGCTGTATGATTCCATAGCTTGCTTAGAATGAAATTCAGAAGTTTAATTACTAACCACAGTACAACTGTGCTCTAAATGAAGCTCAGGTTCAGTGCCTTGTACTGTTATCAGAGTAAGCAGCAAATTACAGTCACGTAGCAATGCTGCTGTCTGAACCAGGAAGGAGCTGCGGTGCACAGCATCAACCTACACAGGTTTTATAGAGTTCACAAAGCCAGTAACTTGAAATGCCTGATAAAGACTTCTGCATCCTTGGAACTAGAAGTTCTAAGAAGGTGAGACCTGAGAACAGGTCATGAGCATTTAGTACATTCAGCACAAAGGATACAGCTCCTGGCTCTCACCCACCCTTCTCACATCACAGGCTGCTCAAGTGACATGCTGCTCCATGTGACTATTTTGTGTGCACATAACACACTCTCTGCCTGCAGTCCTCATCCGAGCTACTCCATAACAGTCTGCCAGGACCAGAGGATACAGAAAGACACTCCCTGAATTCAGCACAGAGGGGTTAGTTACATTAGCCATGGAGGAAGCAGCCTGCTCTGATCTCCTGAGACTTTTTGCCAGTGCTCAGTCCCTGGTTTGATCTAACACTGCTCACTGTTTTGCAACTCTAGCTGGGTTTGCAGCACTCAATTAACCGCCGATCAAGTCACCCTGCTCTTCTTGTTGTGTAGTAATTCCAACTCAGATAGCTGAAGTTGACTAACCCAGTCACAAACAGGGAAAGCAAACAGGAAAACAGGACAAAACCTACAAGCAAGACATGTAAATTTTTTAGTTGCCTGCACATGAATCATAGAATGGTTTGGGTTGGAAGAGACCTTTAAGATCATCTAGTTGCAAATCCCTGCTGTAGGCAGGGATACCTCCCTCTACACCAGAACAAACTCAAGCATATCCTTGAGGGGCTGCAGCATCACGCAGCAGGTCCATCACAGCTGCTGCCCCAACAGCTATTTTGGTACTGGACTCCATTTCACACAACACATAATGGCCTACAGGAACCCTTCCACCAGCCCTCAGCAGAACACACGCTCCTCAAAACCTACACTGCTCTTCCTACATGCAAACACCAGCATTACAACCATTTGTATGAAAACTGAGCTACTCATGGAGAGACAGCTCCCCATAAACACAGGAGCACGGCAGGGAATGGTGCCAACTGCTATCAGATCACAACAACTACACAGGCTGTCAGAGGCCCAGAACTTACCTGCTCTGTAGCTGTTGGGCAGTAGTATACTAATAGCAGGGTTGTAAATATATTTATTAACAGTCCAATGATGGTGATCAGATTTGGGGCAATCCAGGCTGGAACTCTTCCAACTAACCATTCCCAGTAACCTTGCATTAGAGGTTCAAGCAGCGACCGTCCAGCACTCTGATATTTGTGTTCTTCTAACCGTTTCAGCTGGTGCTTTGACAAGGGAGGTGTAGGCAACTGAACTAGCTTGCTTAGCACACAGGCAGCAGCAGGACCATGGGCACAGCCTGCAGGGGATTCCAGGTGCGACTCCCCACATCGCCTCTTCAGGTTCCGATGCCCACTCATGGATTGGGTGACCTCAGAGTTTTTATTTGGCAGGTAACAGCTGTTACGGAGAATCATTAAGATCCTGCAACATAAAGGGTTGAGATAAACTGAAGGTGAAGGATGCAGGTAGGTTTTAAATATATCAGGAGTTTCTATTGCTCCACAGAACATCTCATTTGCTAGCAGCAAACCAAGAAAACTGTATAAGAGTTTTCCCTTAGAGAAGAAGGATATTTGGAGAATTGTTGAGGGAAGACAGGAAAGAACATTCTCAATGCAGTTATAAAATAGCAAGTAGTATTGTTTACCTTTCTTGCTGCCTACAGAAGCAAATATCCTGCAGCCACCTGCCTAAATTTCATCATCAGCAGCAGAAGCTTACAGCACACTGCTGCCTGACATTACAGACCAAGGCACAGTCAGGTCCCTCACAGCTCCCCAGGGCAGTACCCATAACCCACATACCCTGCTCAGATTATCAACTGATGGTAACACAAATAAAGAGAAAGTTCAGCAGCTTTGAAGCAGCTTTGCCTCTTTGGTGAGGAGTAACAAACCCTTTGAGGAGAGAATAAGTACTTTTTTTTTCCCCCTCTTTTCCTTAAGCGTAACCCAAACCAGCTAAAAGCTCACTGCTTTTTTCAACTCTTAAGTAAGAAATATGCAGAAGCTACAGAGCTCCAGCAATCAAAGAGAGCTGCAATGAGACACAGGGCCAGGAGCAGCACCTCCAGCACGAGGAGCTTTGCGGTATCCCAGCTCTCCAACAACACACAACCCTCCATACAGCCTAACAGAGAGGTGGAGGAGAGGAGACCGAAAAGGAAAGTTTGCTTTTTAAATGAGTGTCAACCTATGCAAATAAACAGAACTAACCGTTAAGCAAGAATCAGCTGTAAATCAAAGGTCAGCTGCGGTGCAAGAACAAGCACACCGCAATTCCCAGCCCCGCTCCGCTTAATTAAGGGTGGGAGTGGGAAGCGGGGCGCAGCAGGGAGCGGAGCGCGGCTCCGCAGGGAGGCGGCAGCGGAGGCACAGCGGCTCCCAGCGGCTCCCAGCCCGCCCGGCCTCGGGAAACGCGGCCCGGTGCTCCCGCGGCCAAGCAGAGGAGCGAGACGCAGCGCGGGACGCGGCCCGGCCGTCCCGCAGCCCACAAACCCCGGAGCCGTCGGGGGGGGCACCTCCAGGCCCAGCCCGGCTCCTCGCAGCACAGCAGGCCGGCCTGGCGGTTCCCGTTCCTCGCCTCCGGCCCGGCCCTTCGGCCCTCCCCGCGGCCACACCGCAGCCCCGTCCCGCGGACCCGCCGGCAGCGCGCAGAGCGGCGGGACGCGCGCAGCCCCGCGGCACTCAGCCTCACCTCAGCCTCCGCGCCCGGCGGTGCTTTACGCCGCTTTTGCGACAGCCGGAAATGAGGCGGGGAAGGGCGGAGGAAAGGGCGGGGCTAATGGGTGGGGGCGGGGCCAGGCGCGCGGGGCCGGGGCGGGAGCGGCTGAGGTAACGGCGCGGGGGGCGCGGGGGGGGCTTGTATTGGGGTTGGGGTTGGTTCGCACGCTGAGCCCGGCCCGCTCCGTCCTCCCTTCTGCCTCTCCCAGACACCCTTCGTCTCACCGCTCACCGCCCGGCCGCCCCCCCGCTGCCCCCCCCCCCCCCCCCCCCCCCCCCCCCCCCCCCCCCCCCCCCCCCCCCCCCCCTCCCCCCCCCCCCCCCCCCCCCCCCCCCCCCCCCCCCCCCCCCCCCCCCCCCAGAGCCACATCCCGCCTGGCCTTCAGTGCCTCCAGCCATCACCGCCTCCTCGGGCAACCTGTTCCAGTCCCTCACCACCCTCCGGCTGAAAAACTTCCTAATATCCGACCTAAACTCAGCTTAACGCCGTTCCCCCTTGTCCCATCACTGCCCACCCGTGTGTCCAGCGCTCGGCCCCCAGCAGCTCACCCACACACACGACTTCACAGCTGCTGTTGGGAGCCTGGATGGACAAAACGCTCAAAACGAGCCCTTTGCCATCACTGAGCCGTGGAGCAGCGCAGCCCGGCCGTTCCCCACGCTCTCACTTCGCTCCTCTGAAGGTTCCCAACTTTTATCTGCTGTTATCAGTCTGACCCTGACAACAGGTTGTGCAAGGGATCACAGCCGCGTCCTTCTGCGACTCGTCCCCGTCCAACCTTGCGGAGCACAAACAGCTTTCTCTTTCTGCCCTCACTGCAGTGTTTTCACAGCACCCATTGCCGTGGCTGCACCCGCCTGCTGGGCTGGGAGCGCAGGGAGAGGCTGGCAGTGCCTTTCCTCACCCAGCACGGATTCAGAATTCTCCCATTTCCACATGAGCTTTCTGCTGTCTTTCCACCATTAACTTTTTGACCTTCGTGATCTCGGTTGTCTTTTATTTTTGTTACTTCTGTGGTTTCTGTTCCGTGTGCTCTCAGTGCTGCTGCACATTTCCTGTGCTTAGAGAAAGCTCTGTGCTTTTAATGCCCTTCCTCGACTTGCTCTCGGTACGGTTTGATATGATACCTGTCACAGGTATTACCTGAGGGTCAGCCCTTCCCCATTTAGCACACAGACATATCTACAAAACAGGATACAAGTTTTAGAAAACAATCCTGAAGAGAGAGGCTGGCCATGACCATGATATCATCAGTTGGCAAAGAGCCTCACTGGAAAAAAAGCAGGAGGCTGAGTGTGGTTTACTCCTTGCTGTTGAAAACAATAGGACAGGATGAGGCGCTAATCATAATTAATTGCAGGGCTGGCCAGCAGGACTGCCCCTCTGCACAGCATCCTGCAGCTGTACAGCGAGCTCAGCAGAGCTCTCACATTGCAGCCAGCTGCCACGCTGCTCTGTGCACCTGACCACATGCAAATGGTGGTAATTTGTGTGCAGGGCATTGCCTCCAGCTGTGAGGTGGGATGGGGGACACGGGGACACCCACAATAATCAGTTGGGAACAGCTTAATTGCATTGGAACAATTTTAATTGCATTGGAAGAGTCGCTTTCAGCTTTTTGCTTGAAAGCTTTTCATTTCAAGTTAAACCCTTCTATAGACAAGTTATACAAATCCAAAAGTCTTCAACCTGTTTTCCTGCATTGCTGATATCCCACCATACAGGTGCTTCACTTCTTAAACCACTTTAGAAAAAACATTGAGTCAGGCCAAAAGTGCACCTACCCAGAGTCCTGTGGCAGTGACTAACAGAAGATGCTAAGGAGACTAGTGTAGATGAAAAGATTTAGAGTTACCTCACATCTGGAGTGTTTTCCTTCATATTTCAATGATTTAGAGGAAAATGAAGTGGATGGAGAGCTTCACCAGAACAATGACTCTGGATTCCTCTTGAGGAATTCATTCAGCATCCTTATTCTCAGGTACGTGGCATGTTGTTTGTTTGTTTGTTTGTTCTCAGGCAAAAATCTATTGGTTCGGAAATAATGCTAAGGCACTGATAATATTTAAATGCTAAAGGCAAATCAAAATTCAGATATCAGACTGAGTGCCTGAAGTTGCTTTGAAGTTGGAAAAAGAGATTGCTGTGCAAAATACACATTTCTTTCATACAGATTCCAAATTTACACATTTGAGATATGGGATTTTGAAGTTATATTCATTATGATCTGTTTTGCATTAGGGCCTTTAAATGAAAGTCAACATTAGTGGACAAATGTTACATTAGCTTAAAAATGAAAGTATAAGGGTCACAAAGCAAGCAGTTTCAGTGGCCACTTTATTCTTAAGATGCAGTTATCCGATACCTAATGTCTTCCTTACAAGCAGCTGAACCTTTAGTTTTATAAGGATGTAATTCATTCTTTTCAAGGTCTATCAGTCATGGGTGGCTGTTGCTCTGTCCCAGGAGCGTGCCTTGTTTGAACCACTAATACTGCAGGTTTCAAGGAAGCACAAGCACAAGGCGGTGACGAGTTTCTTGCAAATGAGCAATGCTCATTATGCGGCATTAGCTGATGAATCTGCCGAGCTGGGCTTCCATGAGCTTCCCTGGACACACGGGTGGAGGAGGTCAGCAAAAAGATACGCCTTGGGAAGAGATGCTTGGGAGCAAATAGCAGCAGCGTGCAGGATGTACACACCAGCAGTGCTGAGATGTGTGGGAGGTGATCAGCTCCGTTCTGTCGCAAGATTCACTGTTCTCTATTTTCAAAATCTTTTCCCTCCTATGAAACTTACTAATTGTGCTTCCTCCCTCTTTCTCTCTCTTTGTTTTGCTAGTCTCCTGCCTATAGGCATTTTATGCCTCCTAAAACCTCTCAGTGCTGCACTTATTTCTGTATTCCCATTCTACTGTTGGCCTTTCCTCACATGCTGTTAGATCTTTGTCTGGGATGCCCTTGGATCTGCATTCTCTGTTATTCTTCTCCTTTCCCCTGTCTCATATTCCATTCACAGGTCCAGAACTGGATAGCATGTGAATACATAGTTAGCAGTTTAACTCCACTGTAAATGGACCTTTCCCTCCCACCTGTAAATCTGCAGCACTGTTCTTCCACCCATAGTCAGCAGTTCTTGAGTTCAAAGGTTGTGGCTGGTAGCAGTCAGCTCATGCTCATAGGTATCTGCAATCTTATTTAAGTGATTCTTATAACAGATGTTGAGTCACACAGCATGACAGGCACTAAATGAGTGCAGATATTAAAGTAATTTTAGGTTATTTTCTCAATGTCTGCCCAGCTGATTGTTAATGGAAATGAGAGGTTCTATAGGAGCTCCTATCAGTTAAATTGTCACTATCAGCACACATCCTCTGTCACAGCCTCGTTAATTCTAACACAGTGTTATGACTTGATGATCTTGAAGATCTTTTCCAACCTAGGTGATCTGTGATTCTCCGATGCAAGGGTGAGAAGAAAATAGAGTCAGTTATTCACAGTGACCCATGTGACCTTCTTTTGGCAGCAACAAATGCAAAACACGCAGCAAAGCAACACTGGTCCCTGGTTTTTCTCGTGATCTTCTAAGAATTTCAGAGTTAACATTTCCAGATGTTATTTCTGCTTATTTATGATTGCTTCTGTGCCCTGAGGTCAGATACTCACATTGGCTTTGCAAGACAGGACTGAGAGCGACACCAAATGAACTTATGTATGCACAAATGCATCCACACATAACCTCCGTGATGAGAAGAGCCATCCCTGGCATCACCTGCAGTCCATACAAATAGGCAGTTTGCCTCAGAAAAGCCAAATGTTGTTAGTAAACATTTCTATTCAATTCTCCACAGTGTTCAGAGTTGGAAGTCAGCACTGAAATGTGGTGGTTTCAACAAGGCCTCTCCTTCTTGCCTGTGGCTTTGGTTGTTTGGTCAGCAGCAACATTTGTGTTTTCATACATCACTGCAATTGTCCTCCACCATGTTGATCCTCTGGTGCCCTACATCAGGTTGGTAACATTCATACAATCTACATTTCCAATTGCAGAACATTGAGGCTGTACATGTGTGCCTCTAATTTTGGTCTTTCAGATTTCCAGGCTCATACTTTTCCAGTTTTAATACTCCTTATTCACCTTTTGTGTTGAATGAAGATCAGAATAAAAAGAATATACCAAAAATGTTCATTCCTCATTCTAAGAACAGCATGCTTCTTATGGTTTCTTTGTAGACTGAAAAGGAAACTTGAATTGCAAGTATTTTTAGTACTGATTTCTTTCTTCCAGTGATACAGGGACAATACCTCCTGAGAGATGCTTATTTGGGATCATGTTAAATGTTTCATCTTTCCTGGGTGAGTAGAGAAAGGTGTCCCTGGCAAGCTGCATACAGTTCTTGGATCACACAGTTTTAAACTGTTTACTTATTGAGATCATTGAACAGCCCGAACAACAGTTCACATCAAAGTTAAATTTCAGGCAATTAACTTATTTCTGTTAAGTAACTTAGAGGAAAATACATCACAGGGACGTTACCTACTAACTGCAGATTCCAGAAGGCTAAAAATGCATAAGAAAGAGAGAAAGAAAGAGAAAGAGAAGAAAGAAAGGAAAGGAAGGAAGGAAAGAAAGGAAAGGAAGGGAAGGAAGGGAAGGATGGAAGGAAGGACGGACGGAAGGAAGGAAGGAGGAAGGAAGGAAAAGAAAGTGGTAAGAGGAATATCAATGCAGAATTAAGGAAGTCATCTTACTTGTGCTTCGGTTACAGAGAGAAAAAACAATGTACTTGAAAGTGAAAGAGACCAGAAAACTTTAGTAAGTCAGTTATGGCAGCTTTGACTTCCACATTCCTACACTTCCTAAGGCAGTTCTTATACTTCAAACAGATCCCCCCATCACTCAGCACATTCTCAGTTTAAAAAAAGGAAAAAACAGTTTACTGCATTTGGATTCTTCATTCACAGGTATGGCCACCATGTATGTCCGTTACAAACAAGTCTATGCTTTGAATCCAGACAAATCCAGGATCATCAAGCTTAATAAGATTGGCCTTATGCTGGGACTGATGAGCTGCTTTGGACTTTGCATCATTGCAAATTTCCAGGTTTGTGTCCAGAGTTGGGTGTTTGTTTACTGTGATAACTGATAAGATGGGATGGGGGGGAAGGGGGAAATTAAAAGCAAAATTTTTGAGGGAAAAACCTGTTTGTTTGTTTGTTTTTCCTAATCAAGTTCTCTACAGAAAGCTGTTAAAAGTAAGTTTGAATTTGGAGTTTCTTACATATTTCTTATTTTCTTTATCCACTGGGATCTGTGAGCATCAAGTCACAAAATTCCAAACCATCAAAAAAGAAAGAGAAGTTCTCTTTCTGCAGGAAGCAGACCTTCCTTGCACCTCCTCATAGGAGATGTGAAAGCCATGGCTCCAGATGATAAGACTACAGCTGTACGGTATTTTGATACAGGAGAATCTGTACGGGGACTGTAGCAGCGCCTTTCGCCACTAGAGGCTGCAGTGGCTCTCTGCTCTACTGCTGAATTAGGGCCAGGGAAAAGTAGCTCTTGAGAAATTCTACCTTTCTCTCATTTCCCATAGCACAGCTCTGCCATTGCTTCAGCAGTCTGTCTTAGAAGCCTCAGCAGGCTGATTTCAGTTTGACCAGGATTTTTTGGAAGCCTTAACGTGTCTTTTAGAACCCAAGCTGTACGCTCAGTGTCACTCTGCTGTGAATTCAGCACTTACATTTCATTTGCTCTCTCTTTTAAGGTGTACATAGCGATTGTGAGGAAAGGATAACCCCAATTCCTGATCTTAACAGATATTCAGACTTCATAATTTAAGGCATAAAACGTTACCTGCATGTATGGGCTGCAGAGAGGCTGCCAGCACAGTGCAAATTGACAAGACATTTTGTCTTGGCCTTTCATTTTTTTGGGCACTTTGCTCAGTCAGGGATAGGAGGAAAGGACAAACGAGGTTTGTTCAAACTGCAGTAGTTCAGAGAAGTGCTAAAGCTCATTGGTTTTAACCTCATTTGAGGGACTAGAATTGCATGTCATGTTTGTCTTCTGTTGCATCGTCCTTCATAGACACAGAAATTCCCTGACTAGAAGTATTCAGCAGGCAGTCTGCTGTCACTCTTGTTACTTTCCCAACTGCAAGGATTCCTCCATTCAGTTTCCATATTACTGCTCAGCGTGATAACAAAGGCAGCGTTGATGAATTCCTGTAATTGAGATATAGCTGAACTGTAAATTAGCTGCAAGAACATCTCCAGAGTAGCAATACAGAGGGCTGCCAGGCATTGGCTCCCAGCTAACTCTGTGGGCTTCCAAGAAAATCTCTTAAGTGCTGGCACATTCCAGAACTCTTTTGTTTGGGACATGATAGGATAACTGTGTGCATGGAGCACCAGAAGTTTACAGAAGGAAAATATTCCCCAAGTTGAAAATTAAACCAGGTTCTGTACAAACTGTTCTTTCTCTCCATAGAAATGTATTCTGTACTACATCCACGTGGTCGGAGCCTGCCTGACATTTGGAGTGGGGGCCGTTTACATGCTGGTTCAGACCATTCTCTCCTACTTGATGCAGCCAGAAGTTCACAGCAAAGACATCTTCTTGATCCGACTGACCGTGCTGCTCTGGTGTGGCTCAAGCATTGCAAGCAGTATCCTTTCATTGCAACGTACCTCCATGGAACAGAGCAGCTTCCACAAACAATTGTATTTGCAGCTATGTTAGTTTAACCTGCTGGTAGGGCAGACTGTGCTACACAAGGCCTACCTTAGGTTTACAACTTGTATCATGGCTTTTCTATCCAGTTTTGCAGCTTGGAAACTTCAGGAAAAAAGGACACCATCAGGTGTAGGCTAGCAGGTCAGGGGCCAGC